CAACATTACCATCCAATCAAAAGACCTCATTCAAACGCCAAATATCCCAACAGTGTCTTTCCGGGATGCTATCAAGGAATACAGGTTGCATTTAGCTGCCATGTCTCTTCATTTCAAAAAAACTACACGTACCTGATGGGTCTAAAGATTTCAGGCCTTACATTCTGTGGGATGACCTTCAACCTGGGTCTGAGTGTAATTCCTTCTGATCAGACTTAATAAAGAACATTGTCAGGAATACCACACAAATGATAATGTGCACTTAGTGCATCATATCAGGAGGCTCAGGATGTCAACTTGTCCCACCACTGCTGATATTAATCTTCATTACCTGGCAATTTTGCTGCCCAGTTTCCCCACCTTAAATTCATCACTTTCCTCACTAACTGATTGTTTTACAGAAACTGATTAGTACTTAGGAATATACTCAAATCCTGTTCCTCATCAATACTCTACCCACCACATTATTATTCACTGATAACTCTTTCTAGAAGAATTACCTCTATGATAGTGACCAAATGAGCTTCTTTAGGTCCATTATTCTTTCAACACTTATTAATTTACATTCTGACAAAATTTTCTTTAGCATTTACTTACTTATATCATCATGGACTCATGTATTCCTACTTAATTCAATGTGTTGTGATCCATTATTATATTTAGTTTGAGCCTCAAACTGGTTGATTTGCCAAGGGGGAGGCCTTTTAGGCTGGATCTTGGTCTTTTTGACATGCCTCCATCATTTCCCTTACTTTGCTTGGAACTTAGAAAACAAGATCTGGAAGGACAGTGGGCTCACTGCTATTAGGGTATAACACACAAACACATACACACATACAGGTATATACATACATGACTATAACTATTTCTAGATCTGTGTACATGCGTAAAACTTGAATTCATACGTACACTTCCAATTCCAATCCAACACACCTAAGGGCTCTTACTAGTCTTCTTTCTATCTTTCTAGACATACTCTCTAGTAGCAAAAATCTTGACTGCCATTACCCTTGACAAATTTACTTCATTGCCTCATCCATTTACCTATTTCCTTAATGTAAGCAAAATCCAAATGACACTGACTGTCTCTGCTTATCATCTCTGTGTTCCCTACTTTTTATCTCTGGCTACGGGCCTTGTGCCTCTGTGTGATCCCCAACCCTCTTCACTACCCCATGCTGATGCCTCCAAGTCAGGAAGGGAAGATGCCTGATCATTTTTATTTAAAAACTTTTTTCTTTCTTTCAGCACATACATCGACAACACTTTCAATATCTTGTTTAGTGTTGCGATTAAATATAAGCTTTCTTGCCAAGAAAAGATGATTAATCAGAAATGTGAGTACTTCCTTAAATAGAATTCAGTTTTATTAAAGGGAACCTTGAGGTAATTCACTTAAGACATAATTTTTTTCACTTGAGGTACTATGCTATAAATCCCTTCTTTCGCTGGTAAAAGGCTAGAAGACACAGAATTTATTTACAATTCAGATAGCTAGTATCTATCTGCTAATTAAGTTGTGGCAAGTTCTAGAAGTAATATCAAACTTGGTCAAACTCTGCTCCTTAATATTTTTTCTTCTGTATTTTACTGCCATTCAATGTAAAGAGCTCTCTTGTTGAATTATTATTAACCATCTAAAATGCAAACCATTATGCTTGTCAAAATTCCTGACACATGTTTTGGATAATTCTGAGAAATCATAAAGTCTGACTAAAGATGATAAATAATGGTCAGTAAATATATTTGTTAATCATTTCAGATGTATCTAAATGTAAATAAACTCAGATTTCACACTGAAAACTTAGCTGTTCAAAAAGCAAGACAAAAAAATTTTTAATTATGAAAGATGTCAGAACAGCTTTTGAGATGGCAATGCTGTATACTATCTCTTTTCTACGAAAGTTAAGATAAACTTAAAGAAAAAAAGAAAGTTAGTGTTTTTAGTTTCCAATCCTGTAAAAATTAGTTTTGTCTATACTTATAGCTTTTTGACAGGAGATGTTATCTGGAACTTATTTTTTCACCATCAATCTTTCATTAAGCTCCTATACATCAAGCACAAAATTCCTACTATAATCTAATGAGATTAACAGAAAAATATGCAACTGTAAAAACATCAGATAAAAATAAGTATTATTATGGACATATGCACAATGGGTTTGTAAACAGAGAGAGGGAATCTAATCCAGTCTTGGTCACTGAAGGTTGCCAAGAAGAAAGGAAGATGAACCTACAGTGGACCTGGTAGTCTCTAAAAAGATAAGAATTAGTTATTTAGGAGAAAGAAGTCACTCCAGGAAAGGGTACCAAGGAAAGAGAGTATGATATTTTCTTAGCCCAGAGGATTTGAAGTAAGGAATTGGCAATGACATTCAGTAAACATCAAAAAGGTCTTTAAAGATTAATTAGATGGGGGGACGGGGAAAATGGAGTGAAAGGATTGTAGAATTCCTTTTTACTACTTATACCTTAATAGTTTCCTAATCACTAGTATTATAAAATATTGACTGCTAGTAAAAAGAATTTCTGTTTTACTCTCCTGATCTGTCTTCGGTCAATATTTGCCTTCCTTCTAAAGAATATAAAGATAAATTCAATGTTTAACAGATGACAGAAGAATCCGAATACTGTGAAAATATTTCAAAATATATTTAAAACCAGACTTCTGAAAGAATTTTGTATTCCAATGGGTTTGATCTTTTATTGACTATAATTCCTATAGCAAAAAGATGAACTAAGAATTGCAGGCCAAGCTTGAAATTTCAGGCCTACAGGTATTTTTTTAAGCATAAAAAAAGTTAATATTTAAAGGATAACCTGAGTAAATATGGATATATTTACAAAGCACAAGAATTCTGAAGAACAGAGTTGTACAATATAGCAATTTTCAAATTTTATCAGATTGGAAATCTTTCCAAATGTGTAAAATTAATCATAAGTCTCAGTTCTGCATGCCTACGGGAAAATTAGTTTATTAATTATATCCTCTTCTGGTGATACATTGAGGCCCACTTGGATAGGCTTTTAAAAACAAACAAAAAAACATGATTTAGTCAATCAGGAATCTAGTAAATATTGGTTCCTTATGATTCTCTGTGCCTATTTTCTCCTACAAATAATAAAGAAGACAATCTACCTCTATTTCAAAAGATTATAATGCAGAAGTAATAATCTTTATTATGGGTCTAGTTGATTAAAAAAGAAAAACAATTCTCACTTTTTCCTTTTATCCCTTTTCCGTTTTACTTTTAGGAAATTACAAGTAACAGAGATCATATGTACTACAGAGTTCTTTTTCATTAGACCAATGAAGCAGTTAAATAAAAACGAATAAGGAAAAGAAAAACAAAAGACAGAGAGACATAAAAAAGAAAAAAAATCCTTAGAGTTGAATAGAATTCATTATCAGGAACAGTTTCTGTAATGGTTACAAATCAGTTTTCTAATAAGTTACTCAGTATTTGAACCTAGTTTATAAAAATTTATCCAGAAGTTCATTTCCTTATTTCAAAATGGTCACTGGAAATTTCTGCTACCCGATTCCAAAAAATGGAGTGGGGGAACAGAAAACTGATTTGGATGTCATAATTTGATTTCAAAGTATAAATCTCTATGGATCTCTAAAGTAAAGGAGGAATTTTTAAGAATGTTTATATGATGACTCTAGTGACTAAATGTCTTCTAGATCCTTGCTACTAAAGGCATGGTCCACAGACAAGCAGCATCGACATCACCTGCAAACTTGTTAGAAATACAGAATCTGGCTTCACTCCAGATCTACTGAACTAGAATCCTCATGTGATTAGTACAGAGGCCTTATTTTCAGTAGTGAGGTTCTAGACTATCGTCAAAATAGTTCATCGAATCTACTTTGCAGCAAATGGATTGAAATATTCATCACCATATACTACTGACAGAATAAATAATGTAGTGCTGACAAAAGGAACAGTCTCTGGGCTTAGGTGTCCAAGTTGGAATTCTGGCTACCCCTCTTCCTGTGTGATCTAAGGCATGTTACTTAACTCTATGCTTTGGTTTCATTCACCCCTGCAATGGACATGGATAGGTATACCTATCTCATAAAAATAACTTTAAAGTTTAAGTGAAATATTATGTAGAAAATGCTCAGAATTAGTGCCTGGCACACTATGGGCAATCAGGAAACATTTACTGTTATCATTATTGTCAGTATCGAGTTCAATTGCCACTAAGTGAGAGAAAACCTGGAAAAGAACAAAATGAGAGAGGGGCAATGGGAGATTAAAATATGGGAGATTAAAATTGAAGTTACACCTAAAACATGGCAATTAATTTTTTTTTTTTTTAACTATCAAAATCAATAGATTTATCAACCTGGGGCTGCAACTGACTCTCTAAATAGGAGGTAGGGGTTGCGGGGAAAGCCTGGGAGAAGGACCACAACACCGAAGAGAAACAGAAGAAAGAGGGAACAACATGAGATGAAGGAGACAGCTATGTTTTCTTCTCTGGATCAATTTTCTTCTAGATAGCCAGAGCCTAGTGGCAGATAAGCAAATCAATGAGTCCAGCCACTGGAGAGAGAGAAAAGGACTGGCACTGGCCCAGTTGGGCCCTTGGAGTGACCTCTGGAACCCTGACACCTAACTGGCCAGGCCAGAATCTCCCTTGGCTCTTGAAGTGCCTTTCTCACCCCAAACAAAACTGGGGGGAAGGAGGGAGCAGGCTTTATAGTCCCCATGATGTCCCAACCCCAAATAGATGCCCTCGAGCTTCTAACCTGTGAATATGCCCGATGATAGCACACACGCCTGTCAAGAAATGCATGAAGGACCTATGATTCTCTGTCAGCTAAAAATATTTTGTAAAACCAAAGTATTCTGATCAATTAAAATTAGAAATAGGTAAAAGGCATTTAAGCACAGACTAATGATCATTTCTGAATTTTAAGCATTCCAATCACTTCATTGTTTCTCTCTGTATTTTGATGGCTTATTAAATGTAATAGTCTATTTTACCAGTCGCTTGCTATAAAGTAATGCTGTACTGCTGCCACTGGAAACTGCCCATTTCGAAAAATGCATTACATGTTCCAACTGTTTAGAAAGTCCAGCCACTTCCTGTTGTTGTTGCATAAGTTTCATGCGATGGTCCTTTGCAAGGTTCTGAAAAGAAGAAAATAAGTTCCAAATTAGTTCTGCCTATAACACGTACTTTAATGGTCATTTTCGGATTACCAAATTAGAATAATCACCACCTCTAAGAACCCAAGAAATAGAAACTGAAAAAAACTTGTGTTTTTTCCCCTTAGTACAAAAGATCACTCTTATTGCAGCAAACAACTGCGTCCCAAATGTCAAAGCCAACACCACCAGTGCCTTCCCCTAACCCCCACCATCTGGTTTTATGTATTCTGGGATTTAGATTTCTGTTCATGCATCTTTCAATACCCAAAAGGGATCAAAAACTGCAGATTAGCTATAATAGAGTAAATGCCTGTTAAATTCAGTACCCACAAGTAAAACAGATGTACCTACCATCCAGCAATTTAGTAAAAGTTACCAGATCATATGATTAGTAAATCACATGGTTTCGCCTTCTAGCATTCGAGTCCTGATTGCAACCAGTTTGTGCTCAGTCATAACATGTGAGAGACAACACATTTTATGGTAAAAAAGATATATTATTTTTGTCTATTGAGAATTGCCTTGCGAGGCCATTTTATACAGTGACTGATAGTGTCAATATATTCTCAGAAAAGCTACATAAAAGCAGAACACAGAATTTCTCTATAAGGGATTTCCCCTTTTCTAAGGGAAGGAAACAAGCAAGAACGCAGATTAATCAAAAGCGAAGAGACCTAAACTTTGGTCGTTTTAAAGATCTCTGTTCATAAATTTCTTATACT